GAGATCCTATAAATCTCCCTGGAAAAAGCAAATGGGATTAAAAAAACAAAACACTATCAAAGTAAACGGGATCAAGATTGAGAAAACATTCCAAGAATATCCCAAAGGTCGATTGTGAAGGACATAACCCCCCCCCACTCACTCACCCACCCCGGGCATACCAGTCTAGAAAACGTATCTATAGACGTGAGCTGAAGCCTTTATGCCTCCAGCCATCATTCACAAGGAGATATATAGTGTCAAGCGTCACATACTCACAACACCAGCCTGTCTCGTAAACACTATACTGTACACTCCCCGAATTTCTCACATTTCCACTATCATCCATTCTCTCTTCCTCCCTCTCCTTCTTCCTTTTCCTCCTTATTCACTTCACATCACATTCCTCCTTCATCATTCTCTCTCCCACCTCCAAACACACCCCTCCACCACCAAACACTCCCTCCACCAAACACCAAACACTCCCCTCTCCACCAAGCCTCCCCTCCTCCACCAACCTCCCCCTCCACCAAACACTCTCCTCCCACGAAACACTCCCTCCTCCACCAACACTCCCCCTCCACCAAACATCCCCCCCTCCACCAAGCCCCCCCCTCCACCAAACCTCCCCTACTCTGGCTTACTCCCTCCTCCACCAAACCTCCCCCCTCCACCAACCTCCCCTCCTCCACCAACCTCCCCTCCTCCACCAAACACCCCCTCCACCAACCTCCCCTCCACCAAGCCTCCCTCCTCCACAAACACCCCCCTCTCCCAACATCCCCTCCACCCCTCCTCCCAGCCTCCACTCCTCCACCAAACACTCCCTCCTCCACCCAACACTCCCTCCACCAAACACCCCCCACCAAACATTCTCCTCCAAACACCCCCTCCACCAAACACCCCCCTCCACCACTTAGTCTTCACCCTCCACTACTCCCCTTCCCTCCCTATCCATTAAACCAACACTCTCCAAAAAACCATCATCTACAAAAGTTAAACCACAGTTCTTAAAACATTTAAACCATCATCCTCTATCTGTTTAGACTTATCATCCATTTAAACTATCATACTTAGAGGGTAAACCATCATGCTAACACATTAAACTATCATTCTAGGGGTGTTAAAACCATCATCCTATTAAACCATCGGTCTTGAGTAGTTAAACAATTACCCGAAATATGTTAAAACCACTTTCCTGTTAAACCATTACCGGAAACATGTTAAAAACCACTATCCTGTTAAGCCAACGTCCCTGAGTAACAAAACCCAACATACTAAAAAGGTGTTAAACCCTCATCTTAAATAAGAACATAAGAAAATAAGGAGTCTGCAATAGGCCGGATGGCCTGTGCATGGCAGCTCCTGTCAAGAGTTACTACCACTCTCTATCATTCATGAATCTATCTAGCCTCCTTTTGAAACTTTCCAGAGTTCCCGCACTTACTGCAAAGTTGCTGAGCTTGTTCCACTCGTCCACCACCCTATTTGTGAACCAGTTTCTTCCTATCTCCCTCCTAAACCTAAACTTATCCAACTTGAATCCGTTGCTCCGAGTCCTATCCTGCTCGGATATTATAAGAACTTTATCTATATCCCCTTTATTGATTCTTTTCACCCACTTAAATACTTCTATCATATCTCCCCGCACTCTTCGTCTTTCTAGGGAATGCAAGTTAAGTTTCTTTAGCCTATCCTGATATGGAAGGTTTCTAAGTCCCGGAATCATTTTTGTCATTCTTCGCTGCACCGACTCTAGTGAATTTATATCCATTCTATAATAGGGGCACCAGAACTGAACCGCATAATCGAGGTGTGGCCTGACTAGCGCAAGATATGGTTGCAATAAGACCTCTGCACTCTTGTTACTTACACTTCTAGATATAAAACCCAATACTCTGTTTGCCTTATTTCGAACATTAACGCACTGTTTTCTAGGCCGTAGGTCCGGGCTTACAAGTACCCCTAGGTCTCTTTCACAAGTCGACTTCTCTAGGTTGATGTTGTTAAGGCTGTATACATTATAAGTATTTGTTAAACCATCTTGTTAAACCATCGTCCTCAAAGGATTAACCTAGCCTTTAAACTTAATCTTAACGATACACACAAAACAAAAAATTATAATTACCTAAACAGAAGACTCATAAGACGCTCACGTATTTCGTCATAAAAACAAAAGTTACAAGAAGGAAATCCAAGCTAGATAAATGTTGTAGGGGATCACCTGAAGAATCTCCACCTTAACTTATTTCACCTAAAGATTAACCACCCTATTGATATTTGGGTGGGTGTGGTTAGATTAGGTTTGGTTAGGTTAAGTTAGGTTAGGTTAACGTTACGGTAGTTAGGTTAATCTCCCGGTGATCCAAAAGGTTATTCCTGGTACAATAATCCCTTATGTACTGAATCTAACTTAACTTATACCTATAGTAATTAGATCTAGTTAATGTACTCCTAATTAACCTAGATTGCACCTGTTATATCATAATATATACTAATTTACCTAGAATATATCACAACATAAATCAATCATCCTAACCTAACTTTAACCTAATCTAGTTTACCCAAACCTAATTAAAACCTAACCCAGTCTTCCCCTAACTTAACTCAGGACGGAGTTGTGAAATACTAATACTACTACTACTACTACTAATAATAATAATAATAATCTAATACTACTAATAATAGCAAATAGTAATATCAACGAATGCTTTTCCGGGTCTGAAGGGGGGTGGGAAAATGGTGGTAGGTAGTGGTGGGCAGGTGGAAGGTTGGTGAGGTGAGGTGGATAGGTGGGTGGTTGGCAGCAGGTGGTGGTGGGGTGATGGCTTGTGTGGGAAGAGGGTTCAGTCTGGCTATATTACTTCTCTCCAATACCTTTCAGATATCTTAAAAGAAATAAGGAACAGATAAGAGACAAGTTACCCACAGATGAAGTCAATAAAAATACAAGGTTTTCTGCCAAGGGCTTATTGATATTATTATTATTATTATTATTATTATTATTATTAATGTGTGTGTGTGTGTGTGTGTGTGTGTGTGTGTGTGTGTGTGTGTGTGTGTGTACTAGGTTTTGAGACCTAGGGATAACCCTAGCCGACGGGGCACTAGGGGAGTATATATCTTTATTGAAATATGGTCTTATTGATTCGAGTATAGCCACGTTTGTGTCGATATATTGGACTAGAGTGTTAATGGTATATATTATATAGATCGTGTTGATATATAATCTGGTGGAATATAGGTTAGTGAGAAATATATATCCTGACTGAAATATTGTCTCTGCTTTATTGAAATTTGAGTCTCGTCTCGCATCTTGGGTTTCGTATCTCGCATCTTGGGTCTCATATCTGGCATCTTGGGTCTCCGAGTCTCGTATCTTAAGATCTCGTGGTCAGAGGACGGCATTAACATTCGGGTAGAGCTGGTGGCTGGGTGGACCAGAGACACGAGGCTTAATATATTACTGGTATAGGTCTGGGTCGTAACCTCTTCTGGGTCAGTGAATCTAATATGGCGCCAAGGGTAGAGTCTCAGGTAGGTCCTGACGCCATCTGGATACCCCTACGTCAGTCTTGTTTCTGAAGTGAAATGGTTAAGGTAGAGTCTCAGTATGTGTGTGTGTGTGTGTGTGTGTGTGTATGTGTGTGTATTTCTGTCTGTGTGTGTGCATGTATGTATATGTTTGTATATGTGCGCATGTTTGTAATATTACCTGTATTGATAGTGTGTGTGTGTGTGTGTGTGTGTGTGTGTGTGTGTGTGTGTGTGTGTTATCTCGTTCCACCGAAGAAAAAAAAATAGATAATCAAATAAATAAATAAATAAATAAATATATAAACAGATAAATAAACAAATAAATAAATAAACAAATAAATAAATAAACAAATAAATAAATAAATATACAAATAAATAACAAATAAATAAATAAATATACAAATAAATATCAAATAAACAAACAAACAAACAAACAAACAAACAAACAAACAAACAAACAAACAAATAAATAAATAAATAAATAGAAATAAAGAAAATAAATAAATAAATGGTGAAACTAATGAGGCAATGGGGCTGAGTGACTTGATTAATGGGTCCACTTTCCCCCCTCCTGGAGTGAACATTCGCTTGGGGGGGGGGAGAGGGGGGGGGAGCAGTTCCACGCCCTCACAGGTCCTGAGAGGGCGGTAATGGTGCACTACCCCCCCCCCCTCTCCTCTCTCTCCTCTCTCTCTCTCTCTCTCTCTCTCTCTCTCTCAGCGCTGTTATGATGTGTTCATGTAATCGTAATGTATTTTTTCCCGATGGGTGAGACGTAACACAGACAGACAGACAGACAGACACACTAGTTTACGACACGTCTCTCTCATCCACCAACTCTCTCACTCTTGGTTTCCCTAATTGATATTAATCTCATTTACATACAGGTTATCAGGTTCTTTATCAACTTATTTCTTTCACAAGTCAAGTGGTTCCCTTTAGGCCAACATATAACACAGCTCTTGGCTTAAGCTCCTGAGAACTCTCTTATAACACAGCTCTTGGCTTAAGCTCCTGAGAACTCTCTTATAACACAGCTCTTGGCTTAAGCTCCTGAGAACTCTCTTATAACACAGCTCTTGGCTTAAGCTCCTGAGAACTCTCTTATAACACAGCTCTTGGCTTAAGCTCCTGAGAACTCTCTTATAACACAGCTCTTGGCTTAAGCTCCTGAGAACTCTCTTATAACACAGCTCTTGGCTTAAGCTCATGAGAACTCTCTTATAACACAGCTCTTGGCTTAAGCTCATGAGAACTCTCTTATAACACAGCTCTTGGCTTAAGCTCCTGAGAACTCTCTTATAACACAGCTCTTGGCTTAAGTTCCTGAGAACCCTCTTATAACACAGCTCTTGGCTTAAGCTCATGAGAACTCTCTTATAACACAACTCTTGGGCCCATCTCATGTTGGTCAGGTACACCACGATACTGTTTACCTTCTGGTGTTCTCCCTGAGGCTGTACCTACACCGCCTCCCTCTTGAGCTGCACAAAGAGAATACGTTCAAACACTTTAGTCATTAGTACTCTTACAACCTATAGTAGGGATAAGGAACACAATATCCTGAGATACAAACCTAACCTAACCTAACCTAACCTCACCTAACCTAACCTCACCTAACCTAACCTGACCTAACCTAACCTAACCTAACCTAACCTAACCTAACCTGACCTAACACAGCCTAACCTAACCTATCTAACCTGACCTAACCTGACTTCTAACATAACCTAACTTTAACCTGTTCTAACCTAACCTCTGTCTAACGAAACACTTCAACATTATTTACCTCAATTCTCCCTCTGTACTTGCCCCCCCTCCCCCCCCTCACTGTGTAACCATTTACTTGCAAGTCAATAGTTTAAAAGTAGTTCTGGTACGCTGCTCGAACTACTAATGGTGCTAAGTGTCTTGGACTTGTACCGAGTGTCTTGGACTTATACCGAGTGTCTTGGACTTGTACCGAGTGTCTTGGACTTGTACCGAGTGTCTTGGACTTATACCGAGTGTCTTGGACTTATACCGAGTGTCTTGGACTTGTACCGAGTGTCTTGGACTTGTACCGAGTGTCTTGGACTTGTACCGAGTGTCTTGGACTTATACCGAGTGTCTTGGACTTATACCGAGTGTCTTGGACTTGTACCGAGTGTCTTCTACAGTATTTGTTGTCTCTTGGGAGTAATTACTAGAAGCGTTATTGTTTTTCACAGTAATTAGTTACCTGCTCGACCAGTTAACAAAAGACTGTTACTTCATTCTTGTAAACGATACGGATAGATAGATAGATAGATAGATAGATAGATAGATAGATAGATAGATAGATAGGATATAAACAGTAGTATGTATAGTTAGACAGGTACAAACATACAAACAGCTGTCTCTCTCCCTTCCCTCTCCTCTCCCCGTCTCGCTTCCTCCCTCTCCCCGTCTCGCTTCCTCCCTCTCTCCATCTCTCTCTCTCTACCTCCCTCCTTCTCCCTTACTCTGTTTCTATTCCTTCTTCTCTTTCTCTCTCTCACGTCTGACCCACCAAACAGGTCAATAGATAGATACTTTAGACAGGAGACACAAGTAGACAGAGACAGACGGGTGCACAGGCAGACAGGCACCAAGAGCTCGATATACATATTTATACAGTAGAGATAAATTGATGTATACAGAGAATTAAAGGTATAGACAGATATGTATAGCTAAGAGAGATACATAGGACAGGTTTATAGACAGACAGACAGATAGATAGACAGACAGATGGATGGAAAAGATGATAAGACTGTTCCTTCCTCTCCTATCTGTCACTTTATTTATCACTACCACACACACACACACACACACACACGCACACGTACACGCACACACCACTCCACTCCCGACTACCACACATACATACACACACACACACAGCTTCACCACACACACACACACACACACACACACCACTTCACCACACACACACCCGCTTCACCACACACACACACACACACAGCTTCACCACACACACACACATACACACACACACCACACACACACACACCGCATCACCACCACCACCACCACACACCACCGGACGCTTGACTGCTTCCAAAAGAAAATTCTCTCCCCCTAAATTCGTCAGCCTTAATCTTATATATTCCACCGTATGTCATGTCCGCCATCTGTTACCGCTATTCTGGGCCACTTCTGCTCACATCCGCCTCTACTGATCTGACTGCTAGATTTTTTTTTTATTTGTCGTGTGAGGATGTTTTATTATTATTATTATTATTATTAATAGTAATGTGTGTGTGTGTATTATTGTTGTGTGTGCTTTTTTTGGGGGGATACGACTGAATTTAGTCAGGGATTGATCTATGTTTTGGTCGTCCCTATTTGAATTCAGAATATTCTAGAGAGTGTGTGTGTGTATATAAATCCGTTGGGCCCAAAATCGGTATCCAGCCATACCAAATTTAAACCCCCCAAACTTAACCATGTACAACTTTCACAACACACACACACACACACACACACACACACACACACTAGCCTTAAGCTCTAAGCTACCCCCTTTTAAGGTCTATGTCCGTACACACTATAAGAGACAAACTGGAGGTGAATTTACCGCCCCGATACACCTGTGGCGTAAGAACTGGACAGGTGAGGTTAAAGAGCAATAAACCTTACATATATTGCGTGTGTCTTACCACTTAAAGCGAGCAGTCACTCTCTGAAATGTTCGGGAGTGGAATTTTGGTTTCGGTTTATTTTTTTATTTTTTTTTTTACGGGGATTAGCCGACCCGGGCACAGGTCACTGACCCACATCGGGGCCTGGGGGGCGAAAATGTAATAGTAATAATAATAATAATAACAATAATTAGTTCATAGTAAATAAAATTCATAATAAAAAATAGAAATAAAATAACAAATAACAACACTAATAATAATAATAAAGAACCATAAAGAAATACAAAATGAAAAGAGATCAATTGTGAGAAACGATATATGAATGTTGTGTTGTCAATAATTCGAGAAACAATTGAGACCCTGCAACTGTGTGTAAATGAGGCATAAGTCAGATCAGCAACCTGGGACTTGGTCACAATTTTTGTGATGCCATATGGCAGCAGGGTCTACCATTAGACAACACATTATGCTTCCAATATCTCCCCAGGCGGTAGTACCTCCCTGTTTGATAGCTGCCTACTACCTACTAGGTTAGATTAGGTTAAGGTACGTGAGGTTTAGCAACGTAAGGTTAAGCTAGATTAGATTAATTTAGGTTACGTAAAGTTAGTTTAGGTTAGGTTAGGTTAAGGAACGTGAGGTTAAGCAACAGGTTAAGCTATGGTATGTTCAGTTTGGTCATGTTACAGTTACAATAAAGTACCTTACGTCAGACTGCTGTACTATACCGATGTTTTATACTCCACACTTACGGTATTTTCCTCCACTACAACATCTCTGGTAAAAATGTGTAAGCTAGTGTGTCTAAGAACTCCTCACAGGCTGTAAAACATCCACCAGTCAGGTCAAGAGAGTTGGACATTTGGGATTCTTAAGCACAGGCAGCTCCTCCCCCCCCCCACCAGCCTGGAGATTGAAGGAGATGTAAAGGGAGGGAGGAGAGAAGCAGGAAAGATGAAGGGGAAGGGAGTAGCGGAGGAGGAAGCGTGAGGGGGAAAGAAGGAGGAAGAGAGGAATTGGAGGAGGAGGAGGAGGAGGAGGAGGAGGAGGGAGGAGGAGGAGGAGGAGGAGGAGGAGGAGGAGGAGGAGGAGGAGGAGGAGGAGGAGGAGGAGGAGGAGGCCGGAAACAGAGCGAGGTAATAGGATAGTTATTATTCAGGTATAAATCAAGTATCATGACAGTTCACTGGCTGTCTGGAATCTAATTGTGTGTGTATGTGTCAAGTCACTGTCAGTTTCTCCCTCAGTATACAGTTCTGGGTAATATACCTCTCTGGCTGCAGGCTGTCAACTAACCTATCCTATCCTAACCTAACCTAACCAAATTTCGCCTAATCTAACTAAATCTTGGCTTAACCTAACCAAACCAAACCTAACCTAATCCAACTTAACCAAATTTCGCCTAACCTATCGAATGAGGGAAAATTAAATACCTTGGCTATATAATTAAGAAAGGGGGAGGGGATTCTTTTCGAGATATTAAGACGTTATATTGGATGTTGGAAAGGCTAGGGGGACGTGGAGACTGAGATGGATGGATTAAATTAAAAGTTTTAGTCCCAAGAGAGATGCAACATGTGAGAGGATTAGTAGAGACAACCCGGAATTGTTTGGGGGAGGGCCGTGGTCGACAACCCTCAGACAGGGGGGAGGCGTCGGTCGACAACCCTCAGACGGGAGGGGGCGAGTCGACAGCCCTCAGGGCAGGAGGCATGGTCGACAACCCTCAGACAGAGGCGTGGTCGACAACCCTCCAGACATGGGGGCCACAGTTGACAACCCTTATATAGGAGAGGGCAACAATATCTGGTATCCGGGCACCAGGAGGGTAACCAAATGTTAGTGCCTAGAGCAGGAAGATAGAGGAGGTGAGGGAGGAGATGGGTGAGGAAGAAGAAGCTGGATGACAGGAAGGCAGAAGAAGAAGAGAGGAAGAGGACAGGAGGAGGAGGGAGCAAAATAATAAGGGAGGAGGAAGAAGTGAAGTTGAGAAGGAGGGAGGAGTAAAATAAAAAAGTGAGGGGAGGGTAGGAGGAAAAAAAGGAGCGAGAGGCGCAAGGGATAGAGACAGGACAAGGAAGAGGAGGAGGAGGAGGATAAAGGCCTTGCACCCTCTCCGGGAACCTCGAACCGTGAAGGACTAAACTATTATAAGCAGTGGAGCAGGAGGGGGCAGGAGGAAGAGGCGGCAGTAATTAGTGACTTCAAAGCGACAATTTAAGTCAGAGGTAGAAGGTGTGATCCAGACTCCAGGAACCTTAAAAGAACTATTCCTCGTGTGGTAGATGAGAGTAAATGGCCTTATGGATGTCCTACCAACGTGTAATGAGCATCAGGGTACAAGAAGAGCAGAGACACACACACACACACACACACACACACACACACACACACACACACACACACATTATCACCACCATGAATAATACCAGCTTCGGCGTCTCCTTATCGGGTGATAGTATACAGAAGCAGCCAATAATTCCCTACACTACTGTTGGTTGGTATCTGGCATCTACTTGAGGATCATATTAAAGATATTTTTAACACTTATTCCGATTTTTCTGTATATTAAGGAGAATATTTTTTTTCATGTTATTTTGATATTATATATAATAGGAAGCAACATCGTTCACCATATTATAAGACCGATAAGATGCTAGATTATTACCAAGTGTCGAGGGAATTATAGATGCGGCTGTACACACGACCCTATAAGTATCTTTACGATCTTGTGTGAGACAATATGACAACGGACAGAGGATTTTGATAACCGTACCGAGACAACAGGAGTGATAGTGTTCAATCTGCAATTTATGCTTGTTAAG